TTCTCTTCTATTGGCTTCTGGAGTTATTGGATTGTTCTTATTCTCTTACCAAAGTCTATATTTTTTCTCCAGGATAAACGTTCATCATTGGCCCCTCCTGTGAAGCACCGTGTTTGTCTGTAATCCCTTGTGCTCCCTAAAATGATCCATGGATCTCGTGGGACTATCCTGGGGTTGGGTTGTTAGCCAGCGACTCATCCTCTTGGGCACATTTTCAGTCAAGCATAGCTTTTCGTCAAGACTTTCCCGCTGAGCTAATTCTGATAAAATGGCACAGAAAGGAAGGGTGCCAAGTGTTGGCCTCCGGGTCCCAGAGCTGTTGCCCCAGGAGATAAAGGCTGGGAGGCTGCTGGAGGATGGAGTTCATGTGGGTCGTGAACATGGAGCAGCTTTGGAGAGAGCAGTAGATGCCCCTCACAGATTCAAGACTGGGAATCATTTGAGTGTCCTGAAGAAGGAGAACCTGGAGCAGACAGCAAACCACTCGGACAAAGGACAGTTCAAACATTTAGCATTGCATGAGGCCTTGAAAGCAACACAATTTCCTTACTCAAAATGGGAATGTTCCCAGTTACCAAGATCTTCTCCATGGGAGAAGACCAAGTCTTCCCAACCATCCTTCGAAGGAGCACTGGATGCTCACTGGAGACTCAAAGGAGAATCAGATCACCCTGGAGAAGTTCAAGGGGGGCACACCAAGATGGAGGATCATTGGAAGGCCAAAGAGGATGTCTTGAGTGAGGACCCAGCTTCCATGGACACACAGCAAGCCCTCTTCAGGGACTTCCGTTACCAGGAGGCCGAAGGGCCCCGTGAGGCCTGCAGCCGCCTCTGGTACCTCTGCCACTGCTGGTTGAAACCGGAGAGACACACCAAAGAGGAGATGCTGGAGCTGGTGATCCTGGAACAGTTCCTGGCCATCCTGCCCCTGGAGATTCAGAGTTGGGTCAAGCAGAACCGCCCTCAAACCTGTGACCAAGCGGTGGCCTTGGCAGAAGAGTTCTTACTGAGACAGGAAGAGGGCAAGATGTTGGAGCGAAGGGTGAGAATGGATTTTGGTTTTCATGGGAGACCCCCATGTGTGTAGGTGAATGATTTTGAGGTTGGCCCTTTGAGATAATTTCCGGCTATTGACAGGATCCTCCAATCTGTTTCACATGTCCATTGTAACTGGCTCAAATGCCAGTCCTTAGAGCTTAAACTCAAAGCACATTCATGTCCCAAAATCTTAGATTCCCTTCTTACTGTCTCTGAGGATCCCAGTTGCTCTTCTTGGCAAGGACTTCATACAATTGGAAGGGGGCATGGAGGTCACCGAGTCTGATCCTTGCTCAGTATGGGATCAAGCATCTCCAAAAGAAGATAGTTCCATCTCTGCCTGGACCAAAAGTGTTTTTCTAATATTCAGCCAGGATTTGTTTTCCTTTAGCTTTCGGGGGGCGGGTGGGAGGAAGATTCACTTTTGCTCTAAGTGGACTGTTCTGCTGCTTAACAGCTTTTACTGCTAGGAAATTCCTTCTAAGATTCAGCTTGAATCTCCTTCTGTCATGGGCTGTGAGAATAACCTTGGGAGACAGGAGGAAGAGCCGCAGCCTAGACAACAGTCTGATAAGAGAGGTAAGAAAGTCCAAAGGAGGAATGGGGGCGTGGGAAGCGTCTCAGAAGGGACCCTCCCTAGTTCTCTGGAAAATAAAGGCGAGGAAGGGGAGAAGTGCTTTCAGACTTGTAAGATCCTGTTACCCAGTGTTTCTCAAACCTTGGCAACTTTAAGATGTCTGGACTTCCACTCCCAGAATTCCCCAGCCAGAATTCTGGGAGTTGAAGTCCAGACATCTTAAAGTTGCCAAGGTTGAGAAACATGGCTATAACCTTACAATAAAGGTAGTGTTAGTACTCATGGTTTTGGCTTCCTGTCTGGACTACCTCGAAGGGCTGACACCTTTCTTTTCATGTCAAACTATCCCATTTTGTCCTGCTCCCTTTTGTCTGCCTGCTCTCTCTCACAAGCAATGGCCTGATAGATATTTCTAGACCCTTTGGTCTTTATTTTTTCCCTTGCCACAAGTCCTTTCACCTTTAACCTTTGCACTGACTTGCAGGGTTCGGTCCTGACCCAGAAGGAGGCTGTCAACTTCCACCCCACCCAGCCATCTCATCCCAGCCCCGAAGAGGAGCAGATGTGCCCTCAGGCCAAACAGGAGACCGAGAGTGAAGCAAACGCTCAGGGTAACTCTCACCTTCTGGGGCAGCCTCCCCCAAGCTTCCTACCCTGACCTCCTTCAATCAAGCTCTTAAAATCTGGTTTTCTCCCCCAGCTAAGGAGGAGCCCTTCACAAAAGGGCTAAGATGGGTGGCAGGCCCTTTTGTGAAAACGAATGTGTTGTTTTGTCCCTTCTGGACACATGTTACTTTTTATTTCTTTTCCTTTTTTTAAATTGTTCTAATCTGTTTTGAATATTTGATACTGCCCAGAGTCGTTGGGAGTCAGGCGGTATGTAAATGTAATTAATAACAATAATGTAAGTCAGTAAGGGTTTCCATCTCCCTGGGTTCATGCTGGACAGATGGGGACCTTGAGTTTGGTCTGTGATGAAGATGTGCCTTTGAGTCAATGTTGGCTCCTGGCCACTGACTGGACGAGTCTCTGCAGTTTTCTTGGCAAGATTTCAGAAGGGTTTGCCATTGCCTCCTTCCTAGGGCTGAGAGAGAGGGACTGGCCCAAGGTTACCCAGCCGGCTCTCATGCCTAAGACGGGACTAGAACTCAGGGTCTCCAGGTTTCCAGGCTGGTGCCTTAACCACTCCACCAAATTGTCTCTCAGTTTGGTTCATAGGTTTGGCAATTCAGAGTTGCCATCTCTAGAAACCCAAGTTTCAGCACATAGTACTTTCAGCTTAGGGATACGCAAAATCTACCATTTTTGGAAAAGAACATTCCAATAGGTTTTGGACATACAGTGGTACCTCGGGTCACGAACGCTTCTGTTCACGACCAATCCGGGTCACGAACAGCACCATTCGCAAAATTTTGCTTCCGTTCGCGAACTCCGCATCGGGTGACGAACAGGATACGCGGCCATCTTCCCTGCTGTGACACGTGGTCTTGGTTTCCTGTAGGGGGGGGGACTCTCCCTCCTAGCAATAACCGCCTCCCCACCCGCCTTCCTGTCCTCCACGCCTCAAGCAAGGTTAGCATTCTCTCTCTTCATACTGTACTGGACTGTACTTTGTGTCTTATTTTTGTGGTTTAAAAAAAAATACATATGGTTCAGAA